AGCACCCAGAAGTACCTTTGTTAAGCCTAGGAACATCTAGGTCTTGGCTGACAGTGTGAACTGCTCTGCTGACTGCACCTATACTTCACTCTCCTACGCAAGGAGTTGTGGTTAGGAAACTCATCACCAGGCCTAACTTTTGAAGGACAGTTTCACAGTTCCCAGCATATACAGATTCTGTGAGGCATGCACACTGGGCATTTTGTTAGGGAGGTGGAGATGAATTGGCCTAGGGATGAATTGGCTGGCTAGAGCCTTGGCAGTGTGCTGGTTCTGAGGAGCTGTGCCAGGGGTTGCAGAGCATGACAGGGGGTCACAGGAGGACCACGGTGGAAAAAAAGCTTTTGTCCTGGGCTGGGTGAGTCACCAGGTGACACAGACTGGCTTCTCCTCTTGCCACACCAGGCAGAACTGTCACAAGAACAGATGATAGATGTACTTGTCTGTAACATCTAAATCTCACCTCTGCAAATGCCCCTGCTCCTTTGTTTAAAACAGCTGAGCCTGGAGTAATTGCTTGCCAGTAGTCCCACCCTGAGCAGGTGTGGCTTCAGCCATGTGGTGGCCATTTCAGAGCAAGGTGGTACAGGCATATTCTAAAGCATGGGAGAGGTGAGTTAACTGCTGTTACTTTGCCATTGTATTGGATGACTCAAGGTCTTCTACAGGTAATAGATTTATCTGCTGAGATAACACAGTGGAATTTGATCTGCTGGACCTAACTAGAGTTAGCAGAGGGCTTTTCCTTTAGTGGGCCCTGTTACGAGGTGACAAGTACAGAAGGAAATAACAGAACTATGGGAAATGAGAATTTGCTAAGTCTTCCTCCATTCACCTAAGTATGTTGGTCAAAAAAGGCTTATTTATTTTAACTTAGAGCATGGCCAGACAAAGCTGTGTGGCAAAAGTTAAGTGCCACTGTATACTGAGAGCAATTGAGCTCCAGGAATGTCGGAGAAAACTGTATACCATCTTGTAGCTAGTTCTCTTTCCTTGTTAAGTATAATTAGGAAAATTAAAATACACAGGTGCCTCAAATCTGTGTGTGCTATTTAATGATACAGAGAGCGGCTGACCCAGTGAATCATACTAGGCTGAGACTTTCTTGTTCGTAATAAAGTCACTGAGGTGTTCCTTTGTTAGCTTTCTTGTCGTGGGTTAAAGCATTGTGTGGCTTGGCCCTGAGCCAAGGGCTAACCCACCACATTTCTCCTGACAGCAGTTGTATGGGATTTACTGTCTGCAGTCTGTGTGACAGCAATGTGATTCTCTATAGGTGCTGGTGTCTAGCTAATGAGGAGGTTTTGTCTGCTTGGTTGAAGTAATGTGCCCTGATGTGTGTGCAGTTAGAGTATTTTGAGCTTTTGTTTGGGAACAGGAGGATATGTCTAGATGAATTAATGAAGATCTTGGGTTTAAATTTCCAATGGGATAGAGTTTTATGTTTCCTTTGCTGTGACAGATATCTTCCACTGTTCACTGTCTGTGGTCTTGATGATCAAGGATGGTGGACTGGAGTGGAAATGATGGTTGAAGTAGACAGCGTTTCTGTCTCTTGTGTATAGCATTTTTCTTGAATGGATTTGGGTCTATTCTTTAATGTTTTAATCCTAGTAATTTTTGTATTCAGTTCAGTTTTGCATAATCTATATGCTGTTAAAATTAGTTGAGGCACATGCTTTGGTTGTTTAGAAAATGAGTTATAGCTACATTTGTTGGTAGTACACTACAGAAAGAGGTTATCTCAGCTTTTGCATAAACAGGACTCTGTTTTCTATGTGCTTAATTAAACTTTGCCAAAATTGCCTGGCCAGAAGGCATAAATTTCCAGTGGTATGTTCAAGTAGGGAATCACATCTGACTCAGTGTGGGAATGATGACTCCTCTGGTGATGCCAAGTCGTCTGCAGCTCTGTAGTGGAGTCTCACCTAAGACTGGCATATCTCTGAGCATCAGTTGTTTTCCTGGCCCCCTCACCACCAGCCTGATGGAGTTGCTGCCTCTAGCTCACGACCAACATGTGCAGCCACTCCTTTGTCTTGTTGTTCCCATCAGTTCTAGCACCCTCAAGCCCACTCTTGCAAACATGTTTGGCTCTATCAAGAGCCATTTTAACGTTTGACGCCATATTATCCAATACACATTACAGACCTGACTCCAGAGAATCTCTAGAGTGAGTCTGTCAGAAATTAGCTTGCTTAGGTGTCGTGCTTGGGTTTTGCTCATTGTGCCTGGTTCCTTGGCAGTCCAGAGGACTGGAGTGATCTCATGGGGTTGTGTCCTTTCTCAGCTAAACAAAGTTCTATCACTTTGCTAGAAAAATATGACTTCTTGGGAGAACAGAAATATACATGAAAACGCTCCTATATGGAAACAGGAGGAAGTTATTTCTTGCTCTCTGTTCATGCTTAGTCATTTGTTTACATTTGTTTTTTTTCCTCTCTTTCTAAAATATATATTATGTAGATGGATTGTTTTTCTGCTGTTAGCCTTGTGAACCTACCCTGTGCCATTAAAGGTGATAGATTCTCTTTTGTCATCTACAGTTACTAAAAGTCCTTTTTGCGAAATTTAATCTCTTGACATGCACAGAAGTTAATGTGAAGTTTTATGGTTTGGTTTCTTTGGGTGTTTGGTTTTTGTTTTGGTTTTTTTTGAAACAAAGGGTGAGGATTGAACATGGGAAAGGTGGTGAGTGTTTTCTTCTTCTGGTTAGTGTTTTCTTTTTATAGCAATAGATGTTGTGTATGACTTCAGTAATCATGGCGCTAATCAGCTCCAGCAGGGTAGATAAGAGGTACCTGCTTGAACCATCAGCAACAGAATAATGATAAATATTGAAACAGGTGTCCATTATTGGAAGTTCAGTATTGGTAGTGTTAGCAGATTGGAGAGGTATGAACTCCACAACATGCTCATCTCTGAAAGATGAGTCTTGGCTGGTATCCATGTGAAGGGGCTTGTCTGCAGCTACACAGACTAGCAACATTCCAAGTTGAAGCTTGAGTTGTTGAAATCAGTCATATAGATGGCAAAATTCTCTGTCAGACCTTTATGGCCAGAGGACTGCAGATTGTTCCCTGTCCCTTCAGTATCCACTGCTAAGGTTGTCTCAGCCCACTCCCACAACATTATTTGAAGTCAGCATTTAGAGTGCCCGTATTTCCAGGCTCTGACTAGGAGTCATTGCTTTTGATATTTAGTTTAAGCATGAAAACAGCAATAACATTTACTTTGATTTCAGAGAAAAAAAAATGCTACTTTTATTTTTTCCTGTGCCTGCTTTGTTTTATAATGATTCATTTGACCCCCAAAGAGAACACTACAAAACTGTAAGAGCCCTGGGGAGATGAAGTGAGCAGTTCAGATGAAACTATCTGTCATTATTACGGCAGTTTGGGGGAGGAGGAAGATGAAATATAAGGGCAAGAAAGCTTAATTTCTCTAGTGAGAATGGAGACTTGGATTCTGAAAACATTTAGTAATTTGGTATTTTGTAATCAACTAGGTGGGGTCTGGCAGCTGTGCGAGATGCTACACAATCTTAGAGTTGTGCTTAAGGAGCTAGTAGGAGAGTTGTATTTGGCTGGTGTTCTTTTTGCCTCAGTTGCCCGATCTGTGAAATAAAGGTATGTTCTCTGTGTTATACAGGAAATCAGTATCTGAGCCCAGATGAGAATGCAAGGTTTCTGGCTTCCAGTTCTTCATTCAGACCGCACCTTTCTTTTTATAGCTATGGGGAAAAAGTCGGCTCCAGCATGTCATTTAGTAAAATACCATATAGGAAAAGCAAAACTAAGCCCAAAAGAACTAAAACTAGCTGGTTTTAAATTAGGAGACAGAAAAAAAATCTGCAGATTCTTTCTGGCAAGTAGAAGCTTCCAGTTCCACACCAGATGTGCTTGTCTGTGAGGGTGTTTCTGGCAAACTGAAGTGCTTGCAAAGGTGTGTGCTGAGTGGTGTCAAAAAGACTGGGATACAGGGCTGGCCACTGCACTGCAGTGAGGGAAATCCTGAAGTGAGGGAAATCCTTTCTTAGGATCAGCTCCACTGGAATGTGCTTGTGAGGACAGATTGCAATGCCATGATTTGAGAGTTTCTCCATACAGTGAATGTGTATTCCTGTGTTCAGATGTACCCTGAAAGCTTCAAGCTTCTTCAAAGCTTATCCCTTTCTAAGTCTTAAGTCATTAAAGCTCAGAGCTGAAACTCTTTCATACTATATATGGCATTTGTGCTAGTGGTAGAAACCAGAATGTATTTATAACACTAGTTTGCTACAGGAATACGGTTTGGGAACAAATGTTTGGATAAAATCCAACTCCAGGGACTAGTTTTACTGCTGCACGTAAAATCTGTAGCAAGCTTGTAAAAGCAGCAGTTGAAAAAACTAATAGGGCTTTCCCCTGGAAAAAAAAACCCATTAATTTGGTGTAACATTGTATAGCTGGAGAGTTACTTGTGGTGGTTGAAGTATCAGTGGGTGACCCTGTGCGTAACATGCTTTCTGTCACGTTGGAATGCAGGGATGCTCTTAGGCACGCACGGGATTGTTGGTGTTACTTCTTAGTACGTGCTGCTATTTTCATATGTATTCTTCATTTGTTTAGAAATGCCCATTGGTGCTCTAAGTAATATTTAATGAAAATTGCAACTGTATTCTTAACGATATTGCATAGCATTGACATGAGCAAATCAAGCCATAAAATGAGCTGAGTTGTTTTACGTACTGCTAGTAAATATTTGAATGAAAACAGTTGGCAAAAAAAGGACACAAGTGTCTTTGGGTATGTTGGTTTAAGCATCTCCATTCAGTCCAAGCGTTCTGTTTGATTTGCCTAACTTGTTAATCCTTTCTGTTGCTGTGCAGCTTGTTACTGTATGTTGAGCTTCTGTGGAATAATTACCAATTGGACTAAGAATGCTCACGTCCAAAGTCATAAAAGATCTGGTTTTTATTTTGTTTTCTAAAACTACTGTCTCTGTTGTTGTTGTTGAAGGATGTTCAGAAGGAGAGAGAACCTCATGTTTATCTCAGTGAAGAAGAAGTTAAAGAGAAGATACAAAGCTATAATTCATCTGTCACTGATAAATTAAAGATGACCTTGGTAAGTTTTGCGTAAGATTCCTGTAATTTTTAATAGGACCAATTGAACTGTAACTTTGTGCATTATGAATAATATTATTGTTGGCATCTTATGTGTGAAACTGTCTCTGTTTTAATGACTTGGTAAGAGACTCTTTCTTGATCTAGAAATTAAACCTCATGTCTGAAATGTTTTTATCCAGGTAGCTCTCTTTATATGTAATGAAACAAACTGTACTAGAAAAAATATGTCATTTGAAATGTATTTAAGAAACTCTCCATTGGCACTAAGATGCAGATTTGTCAGATGAAAACCCTTAGCTGGTAAACATGAAGATATATTTATCTTGTTTGTAAATTTTTGTCAGGTATCTCTGATAAAGATGCTTGACCAATGAGAAAAGCCAAAACGTGCAATACTTACTGTAGTAGACTTAATTTATAGTCACACAGGTTTTCAGCATGAGACTTCCCTCCCCCTGCCCCTATAACACAGACAATACATACAATGGAATTTATTTCCAGGGATTGTGGGCCAGGTCTAAGACTCAGTCCAGCCTACTGCAGACCATACTAATAAAATTTGCATTTATCTGCCTAGCAAGTTGTTACTCAGTTGTTGCGTTGTCCTGATTTTTCAGATACATTATGTATTCCTGTGGGTATATCGTATATGGAAATTCTGAAATTCCATTATCCTAAACCACATAAGTGTGACTGTGTACTAAAAAGATTTTTGTGTTTGCATGTGGGTCAGGACTTACTAGGCTTAAAAACAGATTGCCTGAAGTTTCTATCTCTGTAAGGCTTGATCAGCATTGCTATTTTGTCTTGCAGAAGCAACTGGAATAAGTAATTTTAAATGTTGATTAGATTGGCATTCATTCTGGTTCTTTTTGAATTGCAACACAACTTGAGCATCTAAATGCCGTAGACTAATTTGATTAACACAGCTAAAATGTGGGAGATAATTTCTGTGTTTCTGCATAAAATCTGTTGTTAAAGATGCATGCTAGTTGTCATCCGTCTCTCCTAATGTGAAAACTTATCACTTGTTTGTAGTATCTTTTTGCTTGATGAGATCCCAATACTCTTAAAATGAAATAGTTGTTATTAAGAAAAAAAAAATTCAGCAGAAATACCAGAGATAATAAATGTCTGAATTACTAAAACAATCTTTCCTACAAGACAGCATATATTACAGTGGCATAGTGTTCGCTATGACCATTTTAATCTGCCTGCTCCACTGATGTGTCACAACTTGTCAATACTAATTTTAACTGTTTGATACTTTTCCTCCTGTTGCAGAATGCAAATGGGATTTACACTGGCTTCATCAAAGTTCAAATGGAACTATGCAGACCGATCACTGTGCAGTCTTCCCAGAGCCAGGGGAGGTGTGCTCACAGCAATAATGAATCAGCTTTTCACTTGCCGGACAGCTGCGTGAATACCCTTCACATCAGCAGCACCAATACTGTTCGTGAAGTTATCGAGGCCTTGCTCAAAAAGTTTTTTGTGGCTGACAACCCTGCGAAGTTTGCACTTTATAAGCGTTGTCACAAGGAAGACCAAGGTATAAGTTAGGCTTGTGGCATTTTGGTAGTTACAGGGTTTTGGGGAGGGAGTTGTGCTATAAGGAGTACTTGAAATAAGCAGGGTGGAAGAACTCAGAGGGAGGTGACAACCTCGCGCTCTCTCATCTTTTTTTTTTTTTTTTTTTTTTTTTTTAACCCCCGCTGCCTTTTATTTTTTTTTTTTTTTTTTTTTTTTTTAGTTTGTAAAAAGTAGTATGTGTAAGAGTAGATGATTTGGGGATAGTTCAGGATAATTCACAAAATAGATGAGAACCCACTAAACCATTTACAGATATCCCCTGTGCCTTGCAGTCCATTATGTTTTGAGATGCCTCCTTATCAGGCTCTAGATGTCAGATAGCCTGATATACTGCGGATTTGTGAGGTTAAACTACAGGACAGATTTTTAAAAAGAGAAAAGACACCGTGGTGTCTGATACCTCAAGTCCTTGCATTGGCAGAGAGTTGTTGAGATGATGAGCATCATGGGTATGCGTGCGGTGTTCATGAGTGTTAGTGCACATGGCTCTCCTAGTGCACTAACTGCTCTCAGAAGTTTGTTGTATATTGTGTTTGGGAATACCAGAAAATGCAAAAGATATTTTTAGTGAAAAGCACGTTTTGCCAATGTTGTGTTCTTGCACTTAGAATCTGCCTTCTTCTGTGGACACTGAGAACAGTTTCAAGAGTTCAGATGTTTCTGGCTGTCAGTCACACCAGCCATGTCAGGCAGGCGGAGTTGTCTCTTAGACTTTGTGTATGAGATTTTAAGTGGAAAAGGTGATGATACCACAGCTCTGATGTCTTAAATGCTTAGTTGTAGCAGCAGACCTGTGTTGTGCTTTTTCCCCTGCATGTATTCAGATGGTGTCCTGTGTTGAATGGAGGACATTTTGTTCCTCTGTGAATGTAGTGTTGCACTGTTATCATCAGTCCTCTGCTCAGCTCCTCCCTGAAAATCACTTGTTCAAAACCAGTATGTAGACTAATATGTAGACAGTATGCAGAATATGTCCATTTTGTAGTTATGCTTGCTCAGCTCTGAAATTTTCTGATGTGAGCTAGTGTTAATCATTCAGAGCACTTGAAACATCGTTGGGCAAGATGATAATTACTGTGATTTCTTCTCCTGCAGTTTATACGTGCAAGCTGTCAGACCGAGAACATCCTCTCTACCTGCGTTTGGTGGCAGGCCCCAGAACAGAAATGCTCAGTTTTGTTCTACGTGAGCATGAAACTGGAGAAGTTATGGTATGTTACATTCACTGTTTTTGTGTGTTTGTTTAGCTTCATGGATGAGTGGGCTCCTGTTTGATCTGTGCTGACCAGATGATCCATTTTTTGGAAGCAGATTTTTTTTTTTGCTTGTTATATTTACTTTGCCTTTTGTAAACATTTCATTTGTGGTTAGACTGTTGTTACTTGCAGAACAAAAAACAGTTTAAGATTAGAATGTTTTCAGATCCCTAAGATTTGCAAGGAGGGTGCCGGATACTGTTTCAGTTTGAAATTGTTTCGAGTGTCTGAGGTTTTGAATAAAAATACTGTATATATAAATTGTTTACTTTGTTTGTCTCATCTATCCTTTTCTCTTTTTCTCTTTCCAGTGGGAAGCTTTCAGTATTCCTGAACTGCAAAACTTCTTGCGTATACTGGACAAAGAGGAAAATGAGCAACTGCAAATCTTAAAGAAGCGTTACGCAGCTTACAGAGACAAACTTGAAGAAGCCCTTGGTGGGGTGTGGAAACCTGGTTAAAAGGGGGCCAAAGGACACTTGGGAAAATGCACGCTACCAAATGTCAGTATAGCATGCCAAACCCAACGTACAAAGAGCAGCAGAGAGTAGTTTTCTTTATTCAGAAGACTGTTTTGTGATGCCAGGGTACCTGAATTTTGCTATAGACTTAGTTCCATAAGACAGGTCACTTAGCATCTTGCACCCACAAGTAAGGGATTCTGCATGTTTGTACATCAGTTTGCAAACCTCTGTGTGCCTAAAGAGTTTTCTGAGTTTTCTTGGGGCAAGCTGTGAAACTTTAATCAATTTCCTAGGATGCTATGAAGTAAGATTTCTTTTTTTCTTCTTTGCTTTAATGGTAGCTTTACAAGTAAGGATGTGCAAATTGATGAGTTAAAAAAATAAGGAAGTTGGAGACAAGACTTTGTTGGAGCACTATCTTTGAGATGAAATTGACTTGCACTACCTTTCTGTTTTCAAATAGTTGCTGTATAATTTGTGAGAGAACTGTTATAGATGGAAGGCATGTGAGATCTGGTTTGTTATTTGAAATTTGTGGAGGGCTTTAAAGTGGTCTTTCTGGAGAAGGTAAAGAGAAAGTTGAAAAGAAGGTAAGAGTTGAGGAAGGGAGAACTCTAGCAGCTAACAGAGGAAGACTGGTTTAAAATGGAAATAGTATTTATACAGAGGAAAGTTGAAATACTAATTCTACAAGATAAAAGTTTTAGGATGTTATAATATTGTGAATAAGTTTTATGGTTTTTTAACTACATAAATCCACACTGGAAAAGAAGTAAAGATAATAGAAGTAA